AAAATTATGGCAAAACAACATATGACCAATTAAATGAGAGAATGACAATTGGCAATAACATTTTCATTTATTAGAATAGATATGTTATTTTCCATGGAAAGAGTCAAACGAAAACAATGCATATATGATACAAGTTATTTTTTATAATAAAAATGAGTAAAACATTATAATAAAAATTAAAAAACCACTTAATAATAATATAATAATATACTAATACCTAAGTTAGGGTTAGTTTTTCAAAACTAAATTTCTGAATCTACATGGATTTAACATCCACAGCAGCTCGAACCACCATCTTCTTAACCTTCGTTATGTAAGAAACATTAGAATCCGATTCCAATTCCGATTCCTCCGAAACACGGACCTTTGATTTCTTCCTAATGAAACCCATAAGAGGGGGCAGTCAAGGTATGTGTTGTGTAGTTAAGAAGTGATGAACCGGTGTCTGATTTTTGTGAAATCGCCGTTAACTGTGAGGTTAGACGAGTTGTGTCTGCGTTAATAACACTTGGGCTTAATTTCTTTTGGACCTTTATAACCGAGTCCACTTCATATAATTTTTGTTGGCACAACTCTTTAATTTCGGCCCCAGTCTTTTTTTTAAGCCCATTTTTGTGAAACCCTAGTAATGTTGCCTCTGTTATGTCTTTTAACGGAGCCGTTACCTTATCGAGGCTTGGTTTGATCTCTGTCACCGTTGCTGTGACCTAAGACGACGTCGATACCTTCCGGCGGTCCCCGATCCTTTCTTCCTTGTTCATAGTCGAGTTTGTCTCCCCACTCTTCTTTGCTTCGCATTCCGGGTACAGGGGTAGTGTGTACCGACGACGAATTAGACTCTTCATCTCTTCCTAGTCTTTAATGGGTCGTCTTCGGTGCTCCCATTCATACCACAATAGGGCGTCGCCTTGAAGAGCCATCACTGCAACATCGAGCTTATCTACTTCTCTCAATCCGTAAAAAGAAAAATACCATTCAGCCTCTAGGATCCAGTCCAACTGATTACCATCAAACAAGGGCATCTCTAGCTCTTCGGAAGGCAGCTTGGGACCTCCTGGGAATGGAACTGCATTCTTGCTGCTGTCATGGTCGGAATAGTCTAGCGATCCAAACTCAGAATTCGCCAAAATATGTTCCGCCGCGTCGTTGGAAGATTTGAACCGCCGACGTATTAATCCTTTAAGCTCTTCCCAATCTCGTATGGGCCGCCTCCGATGCTCCCATTCGTAGAAAAGTAAGGCGTCGCCTTCTAGAGATCTCACAGCAACCTTCATCATTTCTTCATCCTCGTACGTGTAGAATGACCTTTCCACGTTAAAAATCCACTCCTCTGCGTTAGTTCCATTAAACAAGAGCATCTCAAGTTTGTGAAACCTCCGATTGGTCCCTCCTTCCTTAAGAACCGTTTCTCTCTTCTTTGTTTCAACTTCCGGTGGTGGTGGCGGCGACGGTAGTCTATAGCTGTTGTGTTTACCTCTATTCTCTGAAAAAATGGAACAAACTCTCTTGTTCTCAGCGGCCATCTCAGTCATCTTTTCCGCAAGTAGAGAACACTGATTGTTCATTAGTTGCTGCAAATCAGTTAGAGCTGATTTCACTCCTTCCCATCCTTCTTCTGCTGCATCTATTCTTTGCTCCACAGGAACCAGGTTCATTGCTCTGATACCAATTTGTTATGAACTGGTTTGTAATAACAGATTCAATAACAAATAAACAAGCTAATGATTCTAATATTGATTGAAAACACTCAATAATACCAAATGTTTACAAGAATGAAGATGGTTTAGCTGATTCGAGACAGCCAATCTCCCAAGGAAATAATTCCAAATTTCACACAAAAGATACATAGATCACTCCCTGCCAACTACTCTATTCTTATACTATCTGACAAAACAACTAATACTATAAAATGCTTAAAATGCCCCTCCTACTAATAATATATTCTTTAATTAGATGATTTCCCATATTACCCTTAACTAACTTATTTGCCTAATATCAGAGGTATAACAATATTATAGGCAAGGGAGGAGAAGTGGAATACCCTGTTGAGTATGAGATCAATGGGACAAGTGTAGTAGAGGCATGTTCATTTTTACAAAACTGATCAATGAGGGGCATTATAGGTAATTTGATTGGTTACCACTTTCTTAATTTGGGCATCAGGTTTATACATTTTACAAACTCCATATTTTTATAATACCCATCAATGAGTGGATTATATTTCACTACCAAAGGCATCCGCTATAGCATCTGATGCTATTTTACGTTTTAACAGTGCTTTTCCACTTGATGGGTTAATTACATCAATCTACATTGATAATGACATATTCTTACATGATCCTTTGCTACTTGATGGTTTTGTTATAACAATTTGATAAGGGAAAATTACCGATTTCCCACCTGATGTTATGTTCTGCTACGTTTTTATATATAGTTGTTTCAACAAGTGAATCAGAGCTAACCAGATGAAAAGCCAAATGTTGGGGCTAATAAACATTGTGGCTAAAATGAAGGTATATATTCTAAACGAATTTCTTTTCTTATAACTTAATGTCAAATAATGGGTTTCATTACTTCCTAATCTAGCATGGTACTCAAAACATCTACCCGATTCAAAAAAAAAAAAAAAAAAAAAAAAAAAAAAAAAAAAAAACTGGAAAGGGTTTTTAAAGCGGCCATTTAATGGTTTTTGTTGTAATTTGCAATAATTTATATCTTTTTAGCCATAACCATTGTAGCACTCTTCAAAAGTAACTCTTTCCTCCTAACTATTACCCAATTCTATGCCAAAATGGACGTGACAGTGATATGTATATAACTATGTGATTGAGATTGTGTATGTGTATGTTACTGTATGTGAAACTATATATGTGTGTATGTGACTGTATTGTGTCATTGTGTGTATTATGTAGAAAGTTGGGTTGCATCAGATTTGTTCGAGTACTTAAAGAAGTCTTTGGTAATGAGGAAACTTTGGTTTGTTAGGCTGTAGCCAATGTTTAATTGGTTTAGTTTTAAAAAAAATTGCAAGAAAAGAAATTTTAGTAGGAAGGAGTAGTTTGGGAACTATACCTATGTGGCTAATGCAAATACATGCATCGGATTTGAGAGAAGTGTAGTTGCTTACTTTGGTTTACTCACTATATGGGCGTCAAATGAAGCATGCTCATACATATATGGATCCTTTATTGTTAAATTTATCTCAAATTAATGGAATGATTTATAGTATTGAATTGCGTGAATCATAGTTTCAAATTTATTACATAATTTAGAAAACGAGTAACCGTCCACATCATTAGTTTACAAATTTACTTTTTATAAAATACATTTCCTTATGCCGTTTTAGTTTTTGGTTTTAGTTTTTCCTATTGCAGCTAAGGAATGTCTATGACCTAAAATAGTAAAATTACAGCTAAAGAATGATCCACACAGATGACTTTGATGCATTATGTCCATTTTAATACTCTTTTATAACATTGCATACATTATTTTTTTTTATTTTTTATTTTTTATAAAAATCAAATTAGGTATAAACATTAATATATAAACTCATTGATCTTTTAACCATGCTTGACATAAAGCATGAACCGAAAATCCAAAGACTTTACTACTTGGGTTAATCTATTAAAAATAATCAAAAAGTACAGTATGATGGCATTAATATTTTGAAGAGTTTTATGTTATAACTATCTACAATCAGTTTGTAGAAATGATATAAATTTTCTTATAGGTTTTGTGATATTTTTAAATTATTATTATTATTATTATTATTATTATTATTATTATTATTATTATTATCAGATTTTTATATGATCATGTTTCATTAAATATTATTTTTTATCGTTATTATTGTTATATAAATTGTTGCATATTTTTAATTAAAACATATACAATATTGTATTTATTTATTTTAATTTTCATGTTGATGATTAAAAATTCAAGTTATTTTAATATTTTGAATCGATAACGAATAAAATCACCCAATGTTAAATGCAAAGGTTCAAAGTGTAAATTTATTTGAAACAAAAATAAAAATTTCAAATTTGAAATTAATAGTTGTTATAGTAGGTTTAATTTATGGAAACTAAATTAATGATATAGTGGAAATGAATAATGAAGTAATTGACAAGTGGAAAATAAATATATTTCAAAATTATGGCAAAATAACATATGACCAATTAAATGAGAGAATGACAATTGGCAATAACATTTTCATTTATTAGAATAGATATGTTATTTTCCATGGAAAGAGTAAAACGAAAACAATGCATATATGATACAAGTTATTTTTTATAATAAAAATGACTAAAACATTATAATAAAAATTAAAAAACCACTTAATAATAATATAATAATATACTAATACCTAAGTTAGGGTTAGTTTTTCAAAACTAAATTTCTGAATCCACATGGATTTAACATCCACAGCAGCTCGAACCACCATCTTCTTAACCTTCGATATGTAAGAAACATCAGAATCCGATTCCAATTCCGATTCCTCCGAAACACGGACCTTTGATTTCTTCCTAATGAAACCCATAAGAGGGGGCAGTCAAGGTATGTGTTGTGTAGTTAAGAAGTGATGAACCGGTGTCTGATTTTGGTGAAATCGCCGTTAACTGTGAGGTTAGACGAGTTGTGTCTGCGTTAATAACACTTGGGCTTAATTTCTTTTGGACCTTTATAACCGAGTCCACTTCATATAATTTTTGTTGGCACAGCTCTTTAATTTCGGCCCCAGTCTTTTTTTTAAGCCCATTTTTGTGAAACCCTAGTAATGTTGCCTCTGTTATGTCTTTTAACGGAGCCGTTACCTTATTGAGGCTTGGTTTGATCTTTGTCACCGTTGCTGTGACCTGAGATGACGTCGATACCTTCCGGCGGTCCCCGATCCTTTCTTCCTTGTTCATAGTCGAGTTCGTCTCCCCACTCTTCTTTGCTTCGCATTCCGGGTACAGTGGTAGTGTGTACCGACGACGAATTAGACTCTTCATCTCTTCCTAGTCTTTAATGGATCGTCTTCGGTGCTCCCATTCATACCACAATAGGGCGTCGCCTTGAAGAGCCATCACTGCAACATCGAGCTTATCTTCTTCTCTCAATCCGTAAAAAGAAAAATACCATTCAGCCTCTAGGATCCAGTCCGACTGATTACCATCGAACAAGGGCATCTCTAGCTCTTCGGAAGGCAGCTTGGGACCTCCTGGGAATGGAACTGCATTCTTGCTGCTGTCATGGTCGGAATATTCTAGCGATCCAAACTCAGAATTCGCCAAAATATGTTCTGCCGCGTCGTTGGAAGATTTGAACCGCCGACGTATTAATCCTTTAAGCTCTTCCCAATCTCGTATGGGCCGCCTCCGATGCTCCCATTCGTAGAAAAGTAAGGCGTCGCCTTCTAGAGATCTCACAGCAACCTTCATCATTTCTTCATCCTCGTACGTGTAGAATGACCTTTCCACGTTAAAAATCCACTCCTCTGCGTTAGTTCCATTAAACAAGAGCATCTCAAGTTTGTGAAACCTCCGATTGGTCCCTCCTTCCTTAAGAACCGTTTCTCACTTCTTTGTTTCAACTTCCGGTGGTGGTGGCGGCGACGGTAGTCTATAGCTGTTGTGTTTACCTCTGTTCTCTGAAAAAATGGAACAAACTCTCTTGTTCTCAGCGGCCATCTCAGTCATCTTTTCCGCAAGTAGAGAACACTGATTGTTCATTAGTTGCTGCAAATCAGTTAGAGCTGATTTCACTCCTTCCCATCCTTCTTCTGCTGCATCTATTCTTTGCTCCACAGGAACCAGGTTCATTGCTCTGATACCAATTTGTTATGAACTGGTTTGTAATAACAGATTCAATAACAAATAAACAAGCTAATGATTCTAATATTGATTGAAAACACTCAATAATACCAAATGTTTACAAGAATGAAGATGGTTTAGCTGATTCGAGACAGCCAATCTCCCAAGGAAATAATTCCAAATTTCACACAAAAGATAGATAGATCACTCCCTGCCAACTACTCTATTCTTATACTATCTGACAAAACAACTAATACTATAAAATGCTTAAAATGCCCCTCCCACTAATAATATATTCTTTAATTAGATGATTTCCCATATTACCCTTAACTAACTTATTTGCCTAATATCAGAGGTATAACAATATTATAGGCAAGGGAGGAGAAGTGGAATACCCTGTTGAGTATGAGATCAATGGGACAAGTGTAGTAGAGGCATGTTCATTTTTACAAAACTGATCAATGAGGGGCATTATAGGTAATTTGATTGGTTACCATTTTCTTAATTTGGGCTTCAGGTTTATACATTTTACAAACTCCATATTTTTATAATACCCATCAATGAGTGGATTATATTTCACTACCAAAGGCATCCGCTATAGCATCTGATGCTATTTTCCACTTGATGGGTTAATTACACCAATCTACATTGATAATGACATATTCTTACATGATCCTTTGCTACTTGATGGTTTTGTTATAACAATTTGATAAGGGAAAATTACCGATTTGCCACCTGATGTTATGTTCTGCTACGTTTTTATAGATAGTTGTTTCAACAACTGAATCAGAGCTAACCGGATGAAAAGCCAAATGTTGGGGCTAATAAACATTGTGGCTAAAATGAAGGTATATATTCTAAACGAATTTCTTTTCTTATAACTTAATGTCAAATAATGGGTTTCATTACTTCCTAATCTAGCATGGTACTCAAAACATCTACCCGATTCAAAAAAAAAAAAAAAAAAAAAAAAAAAAAAAAAAAAACTGGAATGGGTTTTTAAAGCGGCCATTTAATGGTTTTTGTTGTAATTTGCAATAATTATATCTTTTTAGCCATAACCATTGTAGCACTCTTCAAAAGTAACTCTTTCCTCCTAACTATTACCCAATTCTATGCCAAAATGGACGTGACAGTGATATGTATATAACTATGTGATTAAGATTGTGTATGTGTATGTTACTGTATGTGAAACTATATATGTGTGTATGTGACTGTATTGTGTCATTGTGTGTATTATGTAGAAAGTTGGGTTGCATCAGATTTGTTCGAGTACTTAAAGAAGTCTTTGGTAATGAGGAAACTTTGGTTTGTTAGGCTGTAGCCAATGTTTAATTGGTTTAGTTTTAAAAAAAATTGCAAGAAAAGAAATTTTAGTAGGAAGGAGTAGTTTGGGAACTATACCTATGTGGCTAATGCAAATACATGCATCGGATTTGAGAGAAGTGTAGTTGCTTACTTTGGTTTACTCACTATATGGGCGTCAAATGAAGCATGCTCATACATATATGGATCCTTTATTGTTAAATTTATCTCAAATTAATGGAATGATTTATAGTATTGAATTGCGTGAATCATAGTTACTAATTTATTACATAATTTAGAAAACGAGTAACCGTCCACATCATTAGTTTACAAATTTACTTTTTATAAAATACATTTCCTTATGCCGTTTTAGTTTTTGGTTTTAGTTTTTCCTATTGCAGCTAAGGAATGTCTATGACCTAAAATAGTAAAATTACAGCTAAAGAATGATCCACACAGATGACTTTGATGCATTATGTCCATTTTAATACTCTTTTATAACATTGCATACATTATTTTTTTTTATTTTTTATTTTTTATAAAAATCAAATTAGGTATAAACATTAATATATAAACTCATTGATCTTTTAACCATGCTTGACATAAAGCATGAACCGAAAATCCAAAGACTTTACTACTTGGGTTAATCTATTAAAAATAATCAAAAAGTACAGTATGATGGCATTAATATTTTGAAGAGTTTTATGTTATAACTATCTACAATCAGTTTGTAGAAATGATATAAATTTTCTTATAGGTTTTGTGATATTTTTAAATTATTATTATTATTATTATTATTATTATTATTATTATTATTATTATTATTATTATTATTATTATTATCAGATTTTTATATGATCATGTTTCATTAAATATTATTTTTTATCGTTATTATTGTTATATAAATTGTTGCATATTTTTAATTAAAACATATACAATATTGTATTTATTTATTTTAATTTTCATGTTGATGATTAAAAATTCAAGTTATTTTAATATTTTGAATCGATAACGAATAAAATCACCCAATGTTAAATGCAAAGGTTCAAAGTGTAAATTTATTTGAAACAAAAATAAAAATTTCAAATTTGAAATTAATAGTTGTTATAGTAGGTTTAATTTATGGAAACTAAATTAATGATATAGTGGAAATGAATAATGAAGTAATTGACAAGTGGAAAATAAATATATTTCAAAATTATGGCAAAATAACATATGACCAATTAAATGAGAGAATGACAATTGGCAATAACATTTTCATTTATTAGAATAGATATGTTATTTTCCATGGAAAGAATAAAACGAAAACAATGCATATATGATACAAGTTATTTTTTATAATAAAAATGACTAAAACATTATAATAAAAATTAAAAAACCACTTAATAATAATATAATAATATACTAATACCTAAGTTAGGGTTAGTTTTTCAAAACTAAATTTCTGAATCCACATGGATTTAACATCCACAGCAGCTCGAACCACCATCTTCTTAACCTTCGATATGTAAGAAACATCAGAATCCGATTCCAATTCCGATTCCTCCGAAACACAGACCTTTGATTTCTTCCTAATGAAACCCATAAGAGGGGGCAGTCAAGGTATGTGTTGTGTAGTTAAGAAGTGATGAACCGGTGTCTGATTTTGGTGAAATCGCCGTTAACTGTGAGGTTAGACGAGTTGTGTCTGCGTTAATAACACTTGGGCTTAATTTCTTTTGGACCTTTATAACCGAGTCCACTTCATATAATTTTTGTTGGCACAGCTCTTTAATTTCGGCCCCAGTCTTTTTTTTAAGCCCATTTTTGTGAAACCCTAGTAATGTTGCCTCTGTTATGTCTTTTAACGGAGCCGTTACCTTATCGAGGCTTGGTTTGATCTCTGTCACCGTTGCTGTGACCTGAGATGACGTCGATACCTTCCGGCGGTCCCCGATCCTTTCTTCCTTGTTCATAGTCGAGTTCGTCTCCCCACTCTTCTTTGCTTCGCATTCCGGGTACAGTGGTAGTGTGTACCGACGACGAATTAGACTCTTCATCTCTTCCTAGTCTTTAATGGGTCGTCTTCGGTGCTCCCATTCATACCACAATAGGGCGTCGCCTTGAAGAGCCATCACTGCAACATCGAGCTTATCTTCTTCTCTCAATCCGTAAAAAGAAAAATACCATTCAGCCTCTAGGATCCAGTCCGACTGATTACCATCGAACAAGGGCATCTCTAGCTCTTCGGAAGGCAGCTTGGGACCTCCTGGGAATGGAACTGCATTCTTGCTGCTGTCATGGTCGGAATATTCTAGCGATCCAAACTCAGAATTCGCCAAAATATGTTCCGCCGCGTCGTTGGAAGATTTGAACCGCCGACGTATTAATCCTTTAAGCTCTTCCCAATCTCGTATGGGCCGCCTCCGATGCTCCCATTCGTAGAAAAGTAAGGCGTCGCCTTCTAGAGATCTCACAGCAACCTTCATCATTTCTTCATCCTCGTACGTGTAGAATGACCTTTCCACGTTAAAAATCCACTCCTCTGCGTTAGTTCCATTAAACAAGAGCATCTCAAGTTTGTGAAACCTCCGATTGGTCCCTCCTTCCTTAAGAACCGTTTCTCTCTTCTTTGTTTCAACTTCCGGTGGTGGTGGCGGCGACGGTAGTCTATAGCTGTTGTGTTTACCTCTGTTCTCTGAAAAAATGGAACAAACTCTCTTGTTCTCAGCGACCATCTCAGTCATCTTTTCCGCAAGTAGAGAACACTGATTGTTCATTAGTTGCTGCAAATCAGTTAGAGCTGATTTCACTCCTTCCCATCCTTCTTCTGCTGCATCTATTCTTTGCTCCACAGGAACCAGGTTCATTGCTCTGATACCAATTTGTTATAAACTGGTTTGTAATAACAGATTCAATAACAAATAAACAAGCTAATGATTCTAATATTGATTGAAAACACTCAATAATACCAAATGTTTACAAGAATGAAGATGGTTTAGCTGATTCGAGACAGCCAATCTCCCAAGGAAATAATTCCAAATTTCACACAAAAGATAGATAGATCACTCCCTGCCAACTACTCTATTCTTATACTATCTGACAAAACAACTAATACTATAAAATGCTTAAAATGCCCCTCCCACTAATAATATATTCTTTAATTAGATGATTTCCCATATTACCCTTAACTAACTTATTTGCCTAATATCAGAGGTATAACAATATAATAGGCAAGGGAGGAGAAGTGGAATACCCTGTTGAGTATGAGATCAATGGGACAAGTGTAGTAGAGGCATGTTCATTTTTACAAAACTGATCAATGAGGGGCATTATAGGTAATTTGACTGGTTACCATTTTCTTAATTTGGGCATCAGGTTTATACATTTTACAAACTCCATATTTTTATAATACCCATCAATGAGTGGATTATATTTCACTACCATAGGCATCCGCTATAGCATCTGATGCTATTTTACGTTTTAACAGTGCTTTTCCACTTGATGGGTTAATTACATCAATCTACATTCATAATGACATATTCTTACATGATCCTTTGCTACTTGATGGTTTTGTTATAACAATTTGATAAGGGAAAATTACCGATTTGCCACCTGATGTTGTGTTCTACTACGTTTTTATAGATAGTTGTTTCAACAACTGAATCAGAGCTAACCGGATGAAAAGCCAAATGTTGGGGCTAATAAACATTGTGGCTAAAATG